AGATGTTCTTTTACAGTGCCATTCTCCTAACACAGAACACTCATAAAATCTCCTAAAAATACGCCTGCTACAGTTTCATTTCATTTTCTAAGAAAGAGATAAACATAACAAACAGTTTATTTTTTTTTAAGAGTCTCTGATAGATGGAGTTCACAGATCAAAGTCTAAAGGGGCCAATTTCATCACTTCATAGGTCGATGACACAGCTTTGAAAAGAGGAAAAACAGTCCCTCTAGTGTACTGCTGCTTTAAGAAGAGGAACTGTATTAGTTGAGAATCACTGACGAAGACAGTACTGCCAAAGGAAATTACAAAACAGCATTTTGGCAACACAGTGCAAGCAGAAGACAGATTCATCACATACAACCATAACTGGTCCTCTAGTGAAGCACTTTAAAAGATAACTGAGGCCAAAATCACAAGCCAGTTATGGAAATATTATGGCTGTCATTTTGATTTTTTTTAAAGTTACTATAATTAAAATAACTTTCTTAATACATCAAAAAGAAACTTGGATTTATCATCTAAAGAACTACAGCAATGAAGACATAAATGTTATGTGACAAGTCGGCCCTCCTTTTTTTCCACACTAGAAAGAAGCAAAGTGTACACATTCTCACATGAAGGAGACTCAGTTTCTTGAAGAATTACCCTCTGTAGCAGCATAAGTCATCACACATTATACTACATTTGTGAAACTGGGAGAACCACTACAGAAACTTCATGGTTGCTTACCGTTGAGCCATGTGACCCATGAGAAATGCAGATGAGAGGTATACGTAGGAGAGTAAATGATGCATAGGCCTTCTCACATAAACCCTGGAGTCCTAGAGGTCTGACCGAGACAGGAAGAACCAAGAAAACTCACAGTTCAAATAAACTTAATCTGAAATGTAACCTTAATCTGAAGTGTAAATTTAAAGGAAATGTAACCTTTCCCCACTTAACTACATCTGATTTTCATTTCTACTTTAATACTGAGATAAAGGAATCTGTAAGACAGCCATCACCTTTCTTCCCTGGCAAAGTATGCAACTGACAAACATAGTCAAGAGTTTCATTTCAAAAAACAAAACAAACAAACAAAAAGTGAGCTTCTTTTCATTAAAAATGTTGGGGTTTTCGGCCCTCCCTGGTGGCACAGCGGGTTAAAGCACAGCACTGAGAATCTAAAGCTGCTTCCGCATAAGTTCGATTCCCGCCTGCCCTGGAGGTGACCACATGGCGTGGCAGACCTCTCCTGACCCGCCCGCTGCTCCCCTCAGCAGTGTAATTCATCAGTCAGCCTGTTCTGTTCCCCACTCTGTCTCTGGTGAAGCCTCTCACCGCCCCTGAGCCTCTGGCTTGTACCCTAGTTCTGTATGCACAAATAAATCTTTAAAAAAAAAAAAAATGTTGGGGTTTTCGGTGGGGGGGGGCCTTCTTGGTGGTACAAGGGGTTAAAGCACAGCACTATGAAGCTATCTGCAGCCACTACAGCATTAGTTCAACCCCTGGCCAGGGAGGTGCCCAACATGGTGCCGCAAACCTCTCCTGTCTCAACTGCTGCTCCCCCTCAGCAGTACATTTCAGTCAATTTACCTGTTCTGTTCCGCACTCTGTCTGTGGTGAATCCTCTCACACACCCCACACACCTCTAGCTTCTACCCCAGTTCTTCTTATGCTTAAATAAATCTTAAAAAAAAAAAGTTGGGTTCTTGCCAACACCATCACTTCATAATTCCTGAGTACCCAGGAACAAACATGATATTCAGTCTCTGTCTATCACCATTTGTCTATCTGGTACTGAAATAATAACCAAGATATTTCTAGATAACTATGCTTTTCAGCAAAGCAACTTCTACTTATGTAAGACTACTGGTTTCTTAGTAGATGGTGTTTTTAAAGACAAATATAAGAGGAAAATATATGATAAAGAACAAGAACCTCTAGAACTGTGGCTACTAATTACCTCTGTACTAACTAGCTATGTGATCTTAGAAAAGTCATTAACTTAAAGAATCAGGTTCTTCAACTATTAAGTAAAACTTAAGTAAAACTACTATTAAGTTTTAATAGTAGATTAGTAAAACTCTTCCTAGCCTTACTTAGAATCACCTGAGAAACTTTAAAAAAAAAGAAAAGAAAAAATCCAATGCTAAGCCACACACTAGCCCAATAAAATCAGATTTCTGGGTCCTGGCCTTTTTTGTTTTTTTGACAGTTTCAGGTGATTCTAAGATGCAACATAGGCTATAAACCACTGACTTAAATCTAATCTCCAAGACCTCTTTTCTAATTCTTTCATTCTATGATCTCAGGGTGATACTTTTGATTACAGGATCTCATAATGCAATGGTTCAAATACCACAAAAGAAGTAAGGTTTAGTTACTCTGCCTATGGGCACACATGACTAGGTTAACCTGAATTCTAGACATTTTTAGAAGTTAAAAACCCTAATGCAAAACTCAAAATGAAAATAGTGTGGTTTAAATGAACATGCATGCTTCCCAAATGACTAATCATGATAGGAATCAACTCCTGAAACCTGGACCCATGAAAATGGGTCACAATTAACTCTGACCTCTCCCCTTTCCCTCTTCTTGCACCCCCATTAAACCACAAGCATGGAAAGAAAAAAAAATTGGCCATCAGTAATAATCAGAATATGAAACCAGTCCTAGCTTTCAAAGGACCTTTTTCATCAAAGATTTGGAAGTTCTTGCATGGCTGCATCTTTTGACGGCAGTACTCTTTAACTAGATTATATTCCGATAGTCTTCATGGATTAGTTGCCACATGATACTCAAACAGAACTGATGTAAAAATATTAAAGTAAAATAAATACAAAAAGTGTGCTCTGTATTAAACAATACAGAGCCTTGAGAATTTCAATTTACAACATTTCAAAAGACTTTAATTAGAGGGAAATGAGATAGTAGAGAAGGAAAAAAGAAATGGTGAGGCAAAAAATGGTTATGACATATAACCACAAAGTTTATGACTAGTCTCAAAATCTACATTGCAAATCCCGTAAGCTACATGAAACCGTATCTAGCCCAGTCTCAATTCATGATTACTTTTGGTAGGAGCACTTTCCTTAATTTTCAAAAAAAAACAAAACCAAGTTTTTTGGGGTTAACATCTTTAACTACAAATAAGATAGCAAGAAATGTTATCTGTGGAATAAAATTAGTTTTGCAATCTTAAAAAAAAATCATAGGAAAGATAAAAAATCCTTCCTACATTAACTTTCTGACTAAGTTAACAGTTAACTTTTAATGAACAGCTCCTCTGCACCATATTCAAAACATGCAGAACTAAATTTCAAATGTGAGAAATATGAAAAGTATTACAAACCCCACAAATTCATCTTGCTAAATCCTGTAGATTCAATTCTCCCTGACACTATACACTGAGATTAATCCTCATTATCCATGAGGAAACTTTCAAGGTATCGCGTTAGCATTGGTTTAAAATGGAATTCTCATCCTTTCTATCAACAGCCCTCAAATCACACAGCTGATATTCCTATGCAAAATAAAATTCAAAAATAAGATTCATGTTATCAGCACTTTGTTAAGGGAAATGAGATAGATTTGTGGAATATCAAAGCACAAGTTTTGCTTTTGAAGTATCTACACAAGCTTCCTCCAATATTTACCGTTTAAAAAAAATGTTTTTAAAGGCACTTTGCAAGTTTTTTACAAAACAAAAGTCAATACACTAAATTCTTTAGCTTTTCCATACACGATCTTCTCGAATGCTTCAACTTCTACTAAGGTTAAACTGTTCATATTTATACATTTGCTGAACCCAGGAAGATACAGGCTTCCCCAAAGACAATGAAGGGACAGGAGGAGGAAGCCACTACCTATTTTAAAAAAAATGCTAACTTGCAAATAGGAGCAACTGTGATATGTATCACCAACTGCAAAGGACTCCTGCCCGGTACTAACCTGCCCGGTACTAACACAATGTCTTTGGGCAAAGGGGCGAAGAAGAAATGCATACAAATAGCGAATAGCAAAGCAGCTACCAGCATCCCAGCAGGGGCACAAGAGTTAAATCTCTTTGGATGCCCAGCTGCGGGAAGTCATTACATCATAAGCCTTTCCACACCTATCTCCCTACCACGTGTCCAATGCCCCAAGAGGCTGATATGTAAGAGTAGAGTCTCTGCAGGTTCACTTATAGGTAGAAGCCATTACCAACCAGCTCTGCCACTAAAGGCCTAGGCCCTGAGTTCGCCTCTCATTGGACCCCTGCCTCAAACGGCTCCAGAGTCCAGGGGCAGCAGACAGAGCAGGTGCACCTTTCTGTGTTGAGGTGCCAGGCTGGCCTGTTCAAAGTCCCAAAAATCTGAATCTACTACGAAAGCGGGTTTACTGGAGAAGTATCACTGAGAAATGAAGATGTCAATACCGGCAGAGAGCTCCCCTGGAAAAGGTTTACAACTACTTTTTCATACAAGATCGATGTCCCTGTGGCGTTAACACCCACAATCCTAAACTTGAACGTAAGGGTCCTCCTCCAGCACAACATGTTCCTGTAACGTACTGGAAACCACAAATCTCACCCCTCCTCCAGGCACTGAGTACCAAATATTTTCCCAAGCCCTCTCATTCCATCCCAACGCCGTGCCGCACCCCTACTATGGTGAATATTACTCTAAAGTTGGCCACGGACCTACCTCTTCCCTGCTGTCCCAGGACTCCTGTAAATGAATGCACTCTGCCCGTCATTCTTTCCCTCATTGGCATCCCTCACCCCTTCCTTCTCCTCACCTAGTCCTTAGTGAGGCTTTTCCTGAAGCCTCCTCCAATACAGTCCCCCCGTGATCGTCTCCCGGTTCCCCTCGTCCGGGGGTGACACAGAACCCCCAGAGCCTCACCGCCAAGGATCTCCCTCCCAACCCCTCTCCCCAGCGCCCACAAGCGCGCTCCGACGAATCCAAGGCGCATCTCGCGCTGCGCTGAAGACCCGGCGGGTCCAGCCGCCTGCCCAGGTGAGTACGCACCTTCCAGCCGGCAGAGCTGTTGCTGTCGCCCTTATCCTTGAAATAGGGCACACAGCGGACCATCCACTCGTAGATCTGGGACAGAGTGAGCCGTTTGTCCGGGGAGCTCTCGATGGCGCGAGTGATCAAGTCGGCGTAGGACAGGTTCCCCCAGGCGTTCCGCCGCGACGAGCATTTCCTCGGCTGCCCGGACCCCCCGGCCGCCCCCGGCTGAGGCGGTGGCAGCGGTTGTTGAGGCTGCAGCGGCGTCTGCGTCCCCCCGCTCAGCGCACCCGCCGCGGAGGCTGGCCCGGCCCCGGGGTCCTGCCCTCCCGGAGCCAGCAGCCGCGCCGAGTCCTCCAGGAGCAGCCCGGAGCCCAGAGTGCCGCTCCCGCTGCCGCTGATCGCCATGGCCGAGCTGGCCCTACCGCCGCTGTCCTCGTCGTCCTCATCGTCGTCCTCCTCGGGGATCATGGAGTCGGCGGCCGCCTCCCCCGAGGGTTTGGCCGGGCTCCCCTGAAGCTCCGGCCTCTGCAGGGGCCACGTACAGGAGCGCGGCCGAATCTTAGGCTCGAACTCTGGGTCCAGCTCCACTTCGAGCGGAGAGAGAGGGGCGGGGGAAGCCGGCGCCTCTGCCATCTTCACCGCCCGCCAGCCCGCCCGCGGCTCGGGCTCGGGCTGGGGCTCAGGCTCTCGCGCTCTCCTCTCGCGCCGGGGCGGGGTGCGGCGGGGGAGGGACGGGGGCGACGCGAAGGCTCGAGTTCCCGGGCGCCGCTGCCGCGGCTACTGCCGCCGCCTGGGGAAGCGCGAGAGAAGAGAGAAGGAGTTGGTTATCCCGGGCCGAAGCCCCGTCCGCGGCGAGTCGTCGCGGGCGGCTGCCGCTTCCAGAACGCGCCGCGCCCGCCTCCCAGAAGCAAGGAGACCTGGAGACGTGCGTCCCGCGAACCTGGCGCAGCAGACGCCGCCCCCTGGCCAGGCCGCGGGGGAGACGAGAGCGAATGGAAGGGCTCGCGCGGGGCAGCCCCCTCCCCCTGCCGCCGCCGCCAGATCTGCAGGTCTCTCCTGGGCTAGGTGGCTGGGCGGGGAGGAAGGGGGAGGGGCGGGGGAGGGGGGGGGGAGGGGCGCGGGCCGCGCCTTTAAAGCAGGCAGCCGCCCGAGCCGCGCAGCCCAGCGGCGGTCCGACCCGAGCCCGGGCGGGCGTGCGTTTGTTTATGTTTCGCTCGGGCCCGCTCAAGTGCTTCCCACGGCGCCGCCGCCGAAGTCAGTGGCGTCTTCGGCTCTCCCCCCCTTCCCGGGCCCGGCCGCCTCCGCGCCCCCCTGCCACCCCTCCTTCCCAGCCGAGGGACCCTAGCCCCGGGGCGCTGCGGGCAGCTCCCAACTCCCCTCTTCGCCCGCGGGCAGGGAGGGCAAACGCGGGTCCGAGCGCGGACGGGTCCCCGTTCACTTACAGAAAAGGCAGGACGGAGAAGGGGGGCCAGCAGCTCGGCGGGTGTTCGCACCGGGTCGAGCCGAGCGGGGACGGCCCCGGTGGGGGGGAGAGGGGGGGGCTGTGTGGTTTATTTTCTTATGGACGTTGTGCCCTCCACCCCCTTCCCTGTAAAGAGCGGAGGGAGGGGGCAAGTCAGAACATAAATCTTCCAACAGGTCGGGAAGCGCCAAGTATCTCCGGCCGCCAGAAAACCCGGACAGGCGCGTTCATCACCTCCTTGCTCCCGCTGCTGCCATCTTGACAGTTTCCCCCCTTTCACTCAAGTCCTTTAAAAACACTAGCGGGAGAGAAGGGGGGCGCGAACACCGAGTCACGGGGTGGGAAAAGGGAAGCGCCTGGCCCAGCTCGGAAGCAGATCCGGAGTCACCGGGAAGGCGGCCGTCCCGCTGCACAGCTCGGCGCCTACCTCGGTTCCTTCCCTTCAGGGACGAGCGGGGAGGACGCACAATCCCGCGCGGGCCCGGGGCACGGTGAGGAGGGGGCGCTCCGGCCGCCGCAGCCCGCCTGAGGCACCGCCTGTCAGCCTGCGCGCCGCCGCCTTCCACATTCCTCCTCCTCCCTCCACAAGCAGGACGGCCGCGGCAGCAGCACAAAGTTATAGACACACGCAGGGTGCCTCAACCTAGGCTGACGACTGGCGGGCGGGCGGGTCCCCGCCCAGGGGGAGGGCTGGGCGGCGCGCCCGGTGGTGCTGGTGTGCGTGCGTGTGTGCGCGCGTGTGTGTGTTTATGTGCTCACGCACGCGCCTGCGCGGCCCGCTCC